GATCTACATAGGGGTCTATTCACTATGCTGACCTCGGTTCTACTCAACCGAAGGGGTCCTGGGGCCGAAGCTAGCCGAAGGATCGGCCGAAGCTACGGCCAGATCCCTCGGCAGCTTCGTGAATAGACCCCATATACTTGGTGCTGTGTCAGGTATTAACCTGCATTGCACACCTGGACACATCAGAATGTATACATACATCTGGCATGGAAAACCCATCCATGAGAGTGCTACATTAGAAAATGTGACCTTGGTAAATTAATCCATGAGACATCTTGTAAAGGGAGTCATTAAGATGAAAGCTGACCAATCAGTCAATTTTTGATGAAGATTTCATGTCTATGGGTGCCTACACGCTCCTTCATTCCTATGGAAATGAAAGACTAGAAAAAATGATCTGATCGCTTAGGTTTCCTGAGATAAATCAGCCCCAGAGGAGTCTGACTGTGTCTTGTCTACTATTTGTTTGATACAAATAAGCACACACATTTAGCAGATTATTCATGCTTTTTTATACAGATATCTGAAGATGGTAGAAAATAGACTTGTGCGCCGTCAAAAAATCCGTTCCGTTTCGTTCTGTTTCGTTCAGTTTCGGAATATCCGTTATTTCGTATTTCGTAATTCGTATCCGAAACTCAATTCGGATTCGTACGAAATACGGATTTTCGTTAGTTTCGGCACATTTTCGTAACTTTACGAACATTCGTTATGATGAAGTTAAAAAGCAAAAATACCTTTGTTAATATTGGAGTCGATGTGGTAGTTGTTTTTGTATCCGAAATACGAATTCCGTTAACGGATTCCGTATCCGAATTTCGTATTTCGGACTTTAAAAAAAACTACCATCAACTCCAATATAAATGTACTTTGCTTTTTTAACTTCAATATATAACGAATGTTCGTAATGGAACGAAAATACGTCAACGGAATTTCGTATTTCCTGCCTGTGTATTGTAATGCGACTCTCAGCAGCAGCGGATCCGTATTTCGGATTTAAAAAAAATCTTGTCATGTTGTTCAACCTCATTTACAGGGGTAATATTAGTTCCCGTTTCAAAGAAATACGGATCCGAAATTTGTTAACGGAATTTCGTATTTCGGATATAATTCGGAAACTGCAATTCGGATTTCGTATGTTTACGATTCTACGAATTTCAGGAAAATTCGTACGAATTTCGATTCGTAACGAAACGAATCGCACATGTCTAGTAGAAAATGAGTTCACACCTCCAATGGTCCTATGTTTGTTTAAACAGATAATATAGTATGCTGACCAAATACAATGAAAGTTCTCATAAACAAATAAGGTACTGAAGAATGAAAATCAGCAGCAACAGTTGTTACTTTTTCAATACAATGCTGCAAACAACTGTATGAAACTTTGTATAAAGGAAAGATTATCTGATATGTTCTCCTGTAAAGGTGCCCATACACTGTACGATTCTCGTACGAGAATCGCAGGAAATCCCGCGATCGTACGAGAATCGTACAGTGTATGGAAGGCGTGCGACTGTTTCTACTGTACGGTCGCACGTCTTCCATCGAACAAGCAGGTTGCAAAAACCCGCTGGGAATCGTACGATTCTCGGCGAGTGAGTGGCCTGCTGGTTCGACAACTGACGAACGGGCCGGTGTGCGCACGCCTACACTGCCCGTTTGCCGTGCTTGCAAGCCCGCCCCTCATTGCAGTCATCGCAAGCCCGCCCCTCAAGGGTGCGGGCTTGCGATGATCGCAAGTACGATCTGCCTGTCCAAGATAGGCAGATCGTACGTTTTTTTAAGTACTTTACAACCATCACAAGACTAAGGTCTTGCGATGGTTGTAAAGTGTATGGCCACCTTAAGAGAACATAGGTAGATCTCTCTACTCTGTTGGCCTACTGTCAATGACAAGTGTTGGTGTACTATCATACACTATAGGATACTGGGTGACTAGAGGGGTTGTTTAGTCCTCCCACTTTTTTTTGCAGCTATCAGTTGCTGATTTCCTCCAGTCTTTTTTTGCCACCGTTGGGAAATAGTTGTCACCCCATAACAAGAAGTGACTGAACAAGGACCTTCTTGATAGGATCAGCAGGGAATATTATAATAAAGGTGCAGATCTAAAAAAGATTTAACATAACTTTCTAAATCACAATAAGCTTTATATGACAATTTAGTTGTTGGGTTTACCTCTCCCAGCAACCCATGTGAAGTGATTTATATAGGAAAAAGGCAGCAAGGAGTTAAATCTCTTGCTAACAAACATATCAAAACGTAGGTGTAAGTGGAAACATAAAACCTTCCCCGGGATTCATAAAGCTGCTATGTCATTAGACTTCTAGTATTACTTTAATCTCAGCCACCTGTACACAGGTCTGAAAGATTTAGAAAACATCCCGTGTTTAGGGATTGTTGTAAAATAACTGCCAGTTCCCATCCAGCGCAGATCAGATTACTTTACTTCACTTAAGGATTTCCAATTGTTTTGTGTGTTTGCAAGCCGTGCTCCCTCCATCCTAGACACACATCTGCCATTGTTTTTCAACACAGAATGTATTACCGTATTTGCTGAAATTTTGCATGCAAAGCACAAATGTACCTAAGAAGTTGTCAGGATTTGTTTGACAAATCATTGTGGCAGACAGGGAGGAGGACTGGTTTTTAAAAAAGGGGTGAAAGAGGCCATTTATGTAAAACCGGTTGCAATTAACAGAATATGTGGATTGAGGCAACATTCACCATATTTATTCCCAGGTAATTTTTGGAACAAGTCATTCTGAATTGAGAAAGCTGGTTGGATGACCAGTGAAATGTCATCAAGAAAAATACAGCAATTGCAGTTGCCTTGACTTATTTTTTTTACAGATAACCATTGCATACTGTGTAAGTCTGCAAGCTGGCAGGTGCTGTAGGTGTATAGCATGGCTACAATGAGATAGGAAAATCAGACACCCTGGGGTTGATTTACTAACCTTATAAACACACCACGAACATGTATACACCTCTGTAGTGTGTTCCCTCCCAGCATGATCTATGGGTGGAATCTAGACACATTTGTAGTGTGTACACACCCAGCAGGGCAGCAAAGCCCTGCATGAATTTGCAAGGTGATGTTGTGTAAATAAGCTCTATGTTGTGTTGCTTGCGTTGATGAATGCAGGAATGTAAATGCATGAGCTAACCATTTTTGTCTAAACTGTGAAGCAGCATTATATATGCATCATGTGCATGATTTTTCCATATATGGCATTAGTGGAAATATGCTTTTAGAGACTTTTTGGTTGATAAATACGTTTTGCTGTGTAAAAACCACACGCACCTGGTGCGTGCGTGTGTTTAGGTTAGTAAATCACCCCCCCTATCGCTAGATGCTGTAGCCCAACCACCACTTTGGCCTGCAGAACCTGCTCACCTACTAATATCTTCATGTGCAGAATCTCTGACCCTTTTTTTAGGCTTGTCTGACATTTTATTTTAAGAGGATTGCCTAAATTTAGAGACAGCAATGGCAATAGAGAGAATAAAGATGTGCATTCATTTAGAATTTGATGTGCATTAATTTAGTACACAAGTATGCAGTGATATGCTGCAAGGGCAGCTTTGCTTGTGTCAGAAACAAGTGTAGACTGTGATCATATACACTAAGCCTCAACCCATTTTTAATTTATCAGAAAACAAAAAAGGGATAAACATAAAATAAAAGGGTTTGTGGATCCTTGTGCCACCGATGGCGTCCTGCTGATACACTTCTTCACACTTTGGACATTTGAGTCACTCATTTTGTGTGAATGAGAGTCTGACATTACCTTCGGCTGCATTCATGGATAAAAGCCCTATTTTGTTGGGTGGTACGGTAGGTAGATCCAAAATGTCAAGCAAGACAAGTCCTAATTTTTTTATTCATACAGCACTTCTACCCAGACAGACATTTTTGCAAATAAAGTGTTTTCTTCCAAAGACAATACAGATAATTCAACTGCAAACTAGATTGTGAGTTCTTGTAAGTAAAACAACAAGGTATGTTCTCTAAACAGGCATCCATTTTTTTTACAAAAAAGCACATTTTAAAACAGAAAATATTGTCCCTCTGACCGGCTTAGCAGTATTAATATATTGTCAGTATTCCCTCTCTACAAAAAGAAGTGAGTGCATATGGTTTTGATCCACCCCAGCCTGCCTAACACACATGATGGCATCTGACCATTTACCATCCCATTGTAGAGTATCCTGGGCCTTAGCGTAGGGTACAAGGCAGTTTGTAAGCTTAGTCCTTCAACCTGTCTAAGGCTCAGCATTCATCTCAAAAGCCAAGATATACCTCATCCCTTGCTAACCAATTGGCTGCAGGCTTTTACTGACATTAGTACATGCAGAGAGCAGAATATCAAAGCATCTAAGAAATTACCCATAGAAAAGGTAAATGAGAGGGAAAGACTGAGATCTATGTAGGAGTCTATGTTGGTGGGAAAGGTGGGAGGGATGACTGTGCTAGAGGTGTGAGGTGCAATCAGGAAGTACAGTTGAGAGGGGTCCAGGTGTGAGTAGTCAGTGATAAAGGGAAGTTTCTACATGCTGGTGTCCTGATAAACTAATTTTACAGATATTCCATATTTAAGAATGCTGTTTAATTCACACAATATATCCTGGAGGCAGATACCTAACAAGTCATAGTTACATATCTATGGTATCAGAATGTAGGTCTTCTCCATTCTTCATGGAAACTTGAGGTGTCCCTTTTTACTGATGGATTTCTCCTGGTTATCCAATTGAAATCTCAACAACATAATAAATTACAAATCACACAGGAAGTTTTCCACTTGTCAATGTGAAGAGCATTATATAATGTGTAAAAAAAATCAATGGACAAACATCACAAATATTTTTAGGAGATAAGATGTTTTATGATTGTGTTCAATGCAAAAACATTTAAATACATATGTATTTATCTATCAACACCCATATAATGAATAAACAGACTTTTAGTCCACTGGCAGTGCAATTTTGTCTTGTGCTGACTATGTAGAGAGGGTAGTAAGAATATTGACTTTTTTTTTAAGCAATGAAGCTTTCATATCCTTGTTCTTCAGGCTGTAGATTAGAGGGTTGATTGTTGGAATTATGATACAATAGAAAAGGGCCGTCATTCTGTCCTTGTATGAAGAAAAAGGTGTCCCAAGACAAAGATGAACATACATGGCGGTGCCATAGAATATGAAAACAGAGACCAGGTGTCCAGAACATGTGGACATGGCCTTCTGACGGGCCTCCTTGGAATGTAGAAGGAAGACAGAGGACAATATGTTCATGTAGGAGCACAGTATAAGAAGAAAGGGGATTGTAGCTCCACACATACAAACAATGAAGACATATAGTTCAATTTTAAAGGTGTTGACACATGCCAAGTGAAGAAGAGGTGGAATGTCACAGAAGAAGTGAGCTACGTGATGAGAGCCACAGAATGGTAACCTGAAAATGATAGTGGTGTGAACTAAAGCTGTCAGGAATCCCACAACCCAAGGCCCAATAGCTAACTGATAACACGTTTTGGAGGTCATCACAGAAGTGTATCTTAGTGGGTGACAGATAGCTATGAACCGATCAAAGGCCATTATCGCAAGGAAGAGACATTCTGACACAGCAACTGCAGAGAAGATGTACATTTGAGTGGCACAGCCAATGAAGGAGATGGATCTATCCATGGACAGGAAGATTCCCAAAGCTTTGGGAACAGTAACATTGATGGAACAGATTTCTAGTAGGGACAAACCCCTCAAGAAGAAATACATGGGTGTGTGGAGATGAGAGTCAAGTGAAATGGTCAAGATTATGAGACCATTTCCCACTAAGGACAGGATATAGGCAACCAGGAAAAAAATTATTAAGATGATCTGGATGGAAACAGACAGATCTGTGAATCCTTGGAGAGAAAACGTTGTCACATTGTTAAGATTCTCTCTTCGCACAAACATATTTTACAATATTTGTCTTTTCATCCAGCTGCAAAAAGCATTGAGATAGGTGTTCAGGAGATGCCCAGTGTTGTTCAATCCAAGAAAAGTCTTTACAAAAATAAAAGTTGCAAACCAGTTTGTCAGATTGTTAGATTCTCAACAAATGTGTTACAAAAACCACAAGTGAAAGATCTCTAATGTAGAAACATAGAAGAGTGTCAACAGAAGGAAAGACCAAGCGGTCCATCGAGTCTTCCCTGTTTTTAGATGTTTTAACCTTTTTTTCAAAGTATAGAACTGACTCCCTACCTCTGTGAGAAGTCTGTCCCACGCATTAACTTCTCTTTTGGTAAAATAGTACTTCCTAAGGTTTGTTATGAACTTTCCTCCTGCTAGTTTTTAGCTGCATCAAATTAAAATACTGCCCTCTCGTTTTTCTGTCTATTTGTTAGTTCGTGCCTGGAACTGCCCCATTTCATATCATGAAGTCAGTAGGTGACACAGAAGGGGTAAGAGTCGGGAAGGGGAGGTAGGAACGAGAATGCAGGATAGATGTATGGACCTGAGGGATACTGTAACTTTACTTTGGAATGGTGAAATTCGGATTCTACTTAGTACTGTTTTTTTAAATCTTTATAGATCTGTTGCTATATATTTGTTTTTCTTAATTATTATATAT